TTCCATCTGCTACTTCAATCCCCAAATAGCTGCAATGGCCGGAGCTGGGCCGATCCAAAGCTAAGAGCTTCTTCCAGGTCTCCCATTCAGGTGCAGGGGCCCAGGCACTTAAGCCATCTTCAACTGCTTTCCCAGGCCAGAAGTAGAGAGCTGGATTTGAAGAGGAGCAGCCGGGACATGGACCAGTGCCCATATGGGATGCTGGTGCCACAGGCAGAGGTGTAACCTACTGTGCCACAGTGCTGGCCCTTATTTTACTTTTTAAAGATAATACTCTTGAGAGTTTTCTGCTTCTGGAGAAATGGAATAGATGGTAGTGAGTCTCCTGGTCTTTATCCTTATACATACCAGGCTTGGAACTAAAGAAGCCAGCAATCTGGGAGTACTAACAGGTGCAGAGCAAAAAACTCCCAACAAAATCCTGTTCTCTCTAGTCAGAGAACCAGGAAAGGGGAACCTAAGCAAGACTGGAGAACTCTTAGACAGTGAGTGTTGTACTCCAAACACCAGAGCAAGAAATCTGTGGCCACCACCTCACCCATGTTAGCAAAGGCTAAATGAGTGACTTAGACTTCTGCTCCCTGGGGGTCAGTAATTTAACATTCTCTTACTGATGGGCTTGGGTGGTCTTCAGTGTTTTGCTATTACAGTGTGTCAGTGTTCCTTCACCTTACTGGTATCTTTGGACATCTGTGTGTTTCTACAGAATACATTTCTAGGTGTAAAATTGTTGGATCCATAGCATACGATGGCAGCTAGATAGATGACATTAAGCCGTGGAAATGCATTTGTCATTGATACAAAACTGGTGTAGAATCAAGGCCTGGTTTCCGGGGTAGTGTGCTTTCGGCTGTACCACAGTGGCTTCCTGGGTCAATTTTGGTTGTATTGAATGCAGTTAATACTCACCTGTAATTCTGATAATATAACTTTAGTTTTGTTGAAATTTTGTTAGTACAACTTTGATTATTTTTTTTTTTTTTAATGAATTCTCCTTTTTTTTTTTTTTTTTGACAGGCAGAGTGGACAGTGAGAGAGAGAGACAGAGAGAGAAAGGTCTTCCCTTGCCGTTGGTTCACCCTCCAATGGCCGCCGCTGCAGCCGGCGCACCGCGCTGATCCGATGGCAGGAGCCAGGATCCAGGTGCTTTTCCTGGTCTCCCATGGGGTGCAGGGCCCAAGCACCTGGGCCATCCTCCACTGCACTCCCTGGCCATAGCAGAGAGCTGGCCTGGAAGAGGGGCAACCGGGACAGAATCCGGCGCCCCGACCGGGACTAGAACCCGGTGTGCCGGCGCCGCAAGGTGGAGGATTAGCCTATTGAGCCACGGCGCCGGCCAACAACTTTGATTAAAGAAGGACATTTTGACTTGTGACCTAAAAATCCAAATTTCCAAACAATTTCACTGCACTTTCAAAAAGCATCATCTGGGCTGGTGGTTGTGTTGTGGTGGGTTAAGCTACTGCTTGGGATGCCAGAATCCCCTATCAGGGTGCTGGGTTGATAGATTCCTGGCTGTGTTATTTCTCATCCAGCTTCTTGCCAGTGTACCTTGGAAGGCAGCAGATCATGTCTCAAGTATTTGGGTCCCTGCTACCCACACAGGAGACATGGATGGAGTTCGTGGCTCCTGGCTTCATGTGTTCTAGCCCCAGCTGTTGTAGGCATTTGAAAGGTGAGCTAGTGGATGGAAGAGTCTCTCTCTCTCTCTCTCTCTCTCTCACTGTCCTTTTCACACGAATGAATGAATACATGATTTTTTTAAGCATCAACTGACTAGTGCTCCCAGTTTTTTTTGAAGTTTTGTTTATTTGTATTTATTTGAAAGGCAGAGCACTTCTCTCCCGTTACCAGTGCTCCTTGCAGTGAGTGGAGGGTTGGTAGTGTGAGTGAGCCCTGGGAGCCACCTGACTGTGTGCTCTGAAGAGGGTGCATCACTCCAGCCTCCCCTCACCCATGTTCTTCCATGTGTCCCTAGATGCCTTATGTGCGGGTCTCCTTCAGTGCCTGTAGCAAAATGAGGATTCCTGGACTGAACTGGGCTCAGGAAATTCTGCTGAATTAAGATATCTGGATGTGAGGCCCAGGAATCATTATTTTAAATGTTTTCCTTAGCTGCTACTGCTTCTTATTTATTTATTTTTTTTAAAGATTTATTTGAAAGGCAGAGTTACAGACAGTAAGAGGCAGAGAGAGAGAGAGGTCTTCCATCTGCTGGTTCAGTCCCCAGATGGCTGCAACGGCCGGAGTTGGGCTAATCCGAAGCCAAGAGCCAGAAACTTCTTCCAGGTCTCCCAGGCAGGTGATGCCGGCACTGCAGGTGATGGCTTTATCCACTATGCCACAGCACCAGACCCCTTAGGTTATTCCTTTTTTTTTTTTTTTTTTTTTCCCTGACAGGTGGAGTTACAGACAGTGAGAGAGAGAGACAGAGAGAAAGGTCTTCCCCAAATGGCTGCTACAGCCTGTGCACTGCACCGATCCGAAGACAGGGACCAGGTGCTTCCTCCTGGTTTCCCATGCGGGTGCAGGGCCCAGGGACCTGGGTCATCCTCCACTGCACTCCCGGGCCACAGCAGAGAGCTGGACTGGAAGAGGAGCAACCAGGACAGAATCTGGTGCTCTGACTGGGACTAGAACCCAGGGTGCTGGTGCCACAGGCGGAGGATTAGCCTAGTGAGCTGTGGCGCCGGCCTAGGCCTTCTTAAGTAACTAAATTTTAGTGCAAGTTGCAGTGTTTGGAATTAATGTGATTCGTTCAGGCTACAAATTCTGTATATGTTTTGTTTCTGATAAGAAAAAAATATATTTTTCTTTCTTTAACTAAGCTCCATTGTAACTATCCCAGGATGTCTAATTAGGGTAGAATCCTCCCTAGGGGGTCTTGTCTATGTCCCCATTTTTTTTTTTTTTTTTTGTTTTCTTTCTTTCTTTCTTTTTTTTTTTTAAACCTGCTTCACCTTTCCATTAGTTTAGTGATTAATGACTTTTCAGGGTTGTAGCATTTTGCTGAAATACTTCTGAATTTTTTGAGTTACTTGCGGATAACAGTACTTTTACTAGCATCTTTGTATGACTTGTTCTTTTTTTTTTTTAATAAAGATTTCTTTCTTTCTTTCTGTCTCTCTCTCTTTCTCTCTGTCTCTCTCTCTCTCCCCCTCCCTCTCTCTCTCTTTCTTTCTTTCTTTTTTGACAGAGTTAGACAGTGTGAGAGAGAGACAGAAATGTCTTCCTTTTTCCATTGGTTCACCCCCCAAGCGGCCATTACGGCCAGCGCGCTGCGCCAATCTGAAGCCAGGAGCCAGGTGCTTCCTCCTGGTCTCCCATGCGGGTGCATGGCCTAGGAATCTGGGTCATCCTCCACTGCACTCCCGGGCCACAGCAGAGAGCTGGACTGGAAGAGGAGCAACCAGGACAGAATCCGGTGCTCTGACCAGGACTAGAACCCGGGGTGCCGGCGCTGCAGGCAGAGGATTAGCCTGGTGAGCCGCAGCACCAGCCCTATTTATTTCTTTGAAAGACAGAGTTGCAGAGAGGCAGAGGCAGAGAGAGAAAGAGAAAGAAAGAGAATGAGATCTTTCATTCGCTGGTTCACTCCCCCACATGGCCACAAGGGCCAGAGCTGTGCCAGTCCGAAGCCAGGAGCCAGGAGCTTCTTCCAGGTCTCCCATGTGGGTGCAGGGGCCCAAGGACTTGGGGCATCTTCCACTGCTTTCTCAGGCCACAGCAGAGAGCTGGATCGGAAGTGGAGCAGCCGGGTCTTGAACCAGTGCCCATATGGGCTGCCGGCACTGCAGGCAGTGGCTTTACTTGCTATGCCACAGCACTGGCCCCATGACTTGTTATTTCTGGCACTTTCTATAGACTTTGTGGTAGAAGAGGCTATGCCTATCCCAGCAAGTCTCAGAATGTTTCCTTCTTTCCTGTGGAGTGTACCTGAAGGAAAAAGCTTGTCCCATTCTGATTTTAGGAAAATTCGGTCTCATCCTTGAGTTCGGGGAAATCAGCTGCTCCGTTCATTGCGTATGACTAGAAATAGCCTGTTGGAAAGATAGCTTTGGTTATTTCCTTGCTCCTGAGGAATGTAGAGCAGGATGTGGGGTGTTGCTGATGAATGCTTTGCTAAATGGGAGGGAGGTTGGCAGTTATTCGACTCTTTGGAAGTAGGCACGCCTACACGGCGCTCATTTTATGTTGCCTGATAAAGAATACTGTATGATGAAACAAGAAATGATTTTTATATTTCATGAAACCCATGACAGACTTTGTCCTGAGGAAGCATGTATGTACCTCCCAGGAATTAAAACATTGTCCAGTATATCAGCCATTAGCCTCATGTGACTATTTAAATTTTAACTACTTAACGATAAATACAATAAGAAATTCAATTCAGTGAAACTAGCCACATTTCTAAAAAAAATTTATTTCTTTATTTGAAAGGCAGAGTTACAGAGTTCCACCCATGTTCACTCCGATGGCTGTGATGGCAGGGGCTGGGCCAGGGCGGAGCCAGGAGCTCCATCTGGGTCTCCCACATGGGTGGCAGGGGTCTAACCACTTTGGCCTTCTTTTGCTTCTTTCTGAGGCACATGAGCAGGGAGCTGGATTGTTAAGTGCAGCAGCCGGGATTCGAACCGGTGCCCATATGGGACGCTGGTGTCACAGGCAACGGCTTAATCCGCTATGCCACGGTGCTGGCTACTAGTCACATTTAAGTACTCACTGGCTAGATGTTGCTAGTGGCCACCACGTGGGACAGAGATTATGCAGATCTCTGCAGCACAGAGTTCTCTTGGACAGCACTGTCCTAGACTAGTCATTGCTAAGAGCAAGTAGCACATTGAAGGAACCCAACAATCAAGAGTTGTATCTCCACCCTTCCTTCCACCAACGCCACTTTTCCTGTCTTCCAGGGCCCTGGGTTAAAGTTCATAGACAGGTCTGTTCTGAGTATCAGTCACTTTGATCTCATTTTTTTCATGTTTAATTCTGTTTTCCAGGCTGGCAGTGATGGTGAAAGCATAGGAAACTGCCCGTTTTCCCAGAGGCTCTTCATGATTCTTTGGCTCAAAGGAGTTGTATTTAGTGTCACAACTGTTGACCTGAAGAGGTGAGTCGTGGATGTGATTTGCAGTGAGCACAGATGGAAAATATTTATTTCACTGTCTTTGCATTTTTTTTTTTAAGATTTATTTATGGGGCTGGTGCTATTGTGTAATGGGTAAAGCCGCCACCTGCAGTGCTGGCATCCCATATGGGTGCCAGTTCAAGTCCTGGCTGCTCCACTTCTGATCCAGCTTTATGCTATGGGCTGGGAAGGCAGTGGAAGATAGCCCGAGTACTTGGGTCCTGCGCCCACAGGGGAGACCTGGAAGAAGCTCCTGGCTTCCGATAGGTTCAGCTCCAAAGTGAACGAGTGGATAGAAGACCTCTCTCCTTCTCACTGCCTGTGCGTCTCTGTAACTTTGCCTTTTGAATAAACATAAATCTTTTAAAAGATGTATTTGTTTATTTGAAAGGCAGAGTTACAGAGAGGCAGAAGTAGAGAGAGAGGTCTTCCATCTGCTGGTTCACTCCACAAGTTGGCCGCAACGGCCGGAGCTGTGCCAATCCGAAGTCAGGAGCCAGGGGCTTCCTCTGGGTCTTCCACATGGGTGCAGGGGGCAAGGACTTGGGCCATCTTCTACTGCTTTCCCAGGCCACAGCAGAGAGCTGGATCAGAAGTAGAGCAGCCAGAACTTGAACCAGTGCCCATGTGGGATGCTGGCACTGCAGGCGATGGCTTTACCCTCTATGCCACAGTGCCAGCCCCGTGACCACTCAGTCTTTTAAGGAACTCACTGTATGTTTACTTTAAATGTCATTAAAAAATGACAGCAGTTAAGTTTTAGTTACGATGGATGTAGTGAAGTCTTGACCCTCTCAATGTCAGCATGAAACTATGAAAGCTTTCTAAGCAGATGTTGTCATGTCCTCAAATATGCTGAACATCTGATTCATGTGATCTGGCTAGTCATGGGGTTTTAGGAGGCTGAATACCATTGTGGTCTCTTTCATTTGATCAGCTTTTCAGGGAATAACAGGAGTTTTCGATAATATGATTTTAATTGTATTTATTCAGTGTGATTGTAAAATAACAGCCATTATCCAGTTGTTCTGTGTTGGTTCTGGCTAGTTGAAGAGCTGTTTCTAGCTTCTCTCTGTAGACTAGAGCACAGAGGGTTGACAGCCCTGTTGAGTGAGTAAGAAACACTTTTTACTTGGGAACTTATAGTTTCCCTTGGTTAAGAGCTCTAAGGTGTGGGGCCGGCGCTGTGGCGTAGTGGGTAAAGCTGCTGCCTGCAGTGCTGGCATCCCATATGGGCGCCGGTTCGAGTCCTGGCTACTCCACTTCTGATCCAGCTCTCTGCTATGCCCTGGGAAAGCAGTAGAAAATGATCCAAGTCATTGGGCTCCTTCACCCGCGTGGGAGACCCAGAAGAAGCTCCTGGCTCCTTGCTTTGGATCGGCACAGCTCCAGCCATTGTGGCCAATTGGGGAGTGAACCAGCAGATGGAAGACTCTCTCTCTCTCTCTCTCTCTCTCTCTCTCTCTCTCTCTGCCTCTCGTTCTCTCTGTGTAACTCAGACTTTCAAATACATACATACATACTCTGAGGTGAAGAACCTTTAGACTTCTCCTCACCTCTCCTAGATTTAAATCAAAGGTTAAGGGGCTGGCATTGTAGCATAGTGGGTAAAGCTGCCTCCAGTGCCAGCATCCCATATGGGTGCCGGTTATATTCCCGGCTGTTCCTCTTCCAATCTAGCTCTCTTCTATGGTTTGGGAAAGCAGCAGAAGATGGCCCAAGTCCTTGGGCCCCTGCACCCATGTGGGAGACCTGGAAGTAGCTCCTGGCTTCAGATTGGCACAGCTCTGCCCATTGATGCCATTTGGGGAGTAGACCAGCATATGGAAGGCCTCTCTCTCTCTTTCTCTCTTTCTCTCTCTGCCTCTGCCTCTCTGTAACTCTGCCTTTCAGATAAATAAATAAATTTTTTTTAAAGGTAAGAATAGGTGTACGGATGGAAAATTGAGGATTCGGCAGTGGAAACGTATTCCTCCTGACATAAAAATGACACCATGGATTGCTACTTCCTTTTTAAAGGTATCAAATCAAGAACAGTGCCCAGGAAAACTGCAGGTTACGTCACCTGGGGAATGGCCCAGCTGATGTGTCAGTCCTCAGTGAGCGTCGCAGTTATCTGAGCTGTGGTTGCTGCTCATTTCTGGGTGGCGCACTCCAGGACCTCTGGACGGCCCTCAGAATTGGTTCTGTGCTCATTCCCAGTGCATATTTGGAAGTGGACATACTTAAAATTCATTTGTCAAACATAAGTCATAAAGTCTTCTAGACCCATATATATATATATGCCTGTGGGGATAGCAAGAATTCAAACTGCAGATTCTTGGGAATATGTTGGTTCCTAATGGACAGAGCTGTATAAGAATGACCCAAGTTATGCAGTTACTCACATTACTGTTTTTTTTTCCTACATGCATGTGCAAAGGGAGTTTCCCAACATAACTCCTAAAAATAGACCACGCCACCAGGCACACACCCTTGCTGTGTCCTAAAATACATGAGTTTCTCCTCTTCCATTTTTGGTGTGGAGCGAGTGAGTCGACTGCTTGCTTTGAGAAGGCCTGCGCTGAGCAGTACAGTGCTGGGTTGTGATCGTGGACCCTCCCAGTTACTGAGGATCTGGTTCAGAAAAGGAAGAGCCCATGGTGGCTGCTTCCAAGTCGTCTTTCCATTTACAGGCTTTTAAGGCGTTATTCCCGTAAGGCGTATATTCCATATATGGAAGGTGACACATGGAAATCGGCATTCAGTGCCTCATAATCGACAGTATCAAAGACGATACATGTTAATTTTCTGAGCTTTGTGTAAACTGGGCATTAAAGGGCACTTAAAATTGAAGCCTATATTTTTTAGTTTTCTTTAGAAATTCTTAGGTCTCCAGTTCATCTAAAAAATGGGACGTGATGATAAGTCCTTTCCACCTCCAGCATCTAGTCTCAGAAAATTGCTTTTAGTTTTGGTCTTTATGTTTCCATCTTTTTTTTTTTTTTTAATTTATTGATTTATTTGAAAGCCAGACTTACTGGTGTATGTGGGGAGCAGGTGGGGTCGGGGGAGATACCAACTGATTGATCTTCCACCTGCTGGTTCAGACCCCAAATGGCCACAACGGCCAGGACTGGGCCAGGCCGAAGCTAGGAGCCTAGAGCTTCATCCGGGTCTCCCACGTGGGTAGCAAGGGCCCAAGCGCTTAGGCCATCTCCCGCTGGTTTCCCAGGTGCTTTAGTAGAGAGCTGGATCAGAAGTGGAGTAGCCAGGATCTGAATCGGTGCCCATGTGGGATGCCAGCATTGCAGGTGGCAGCTTAACCAGCTATGCCACAGCGCCGCCCTTTCCCGCATCTTTTGTATGGGTGTACACACGTAGTCTTGAACAGAATTACAAAGCAAAGGTACCCAAAGAGAGTAGACATTGATAAAAAAAAAAAAAAAGTATAGAATAAAGTCTTCTTGGAAGAATAAAGAATCCTATAGTGAAATGTTCCTTTCAAATATATTCTTAAATTTAAAACATTAAGTTGTGACTCATTTTAGCCATCTGTTGGGGATAAGATGCCTGTGGTGCTCCCTTTCTGTCTTTTCTGGCTAATTGCCTGGTTCCTCAGTGGGAAGTACTGATCTCGGAGCAAACCATGGAGAGCGTGGAGCTCCCCTAGGGCCGTTGAAGCCCACTCTGCGTGCTAGAAAAATGATCGTCACGTGGCATTCCGCCCATGAGAACAGGCCGTGCCTGGTGCTGGCATCTGTGTCCCGTGTTTTCTTTGCGTCTCAGTGGTGTTAATGACTGTGCTGGTGGCATTCCTGTGCCCTTTGTGAGGCCCGGAACACTTCGCCATCATTGCCTGCCAGTGTAGCCTTAATGCTCTAGTGGGAGTTACTTCCGAACTGCAGTCTTTTGTTCGAGCTGCAATTACATTAAAACACTTTTAGATTAAAAAAATAAAGTGCCTGGGCTTCAGAAAGACTTCAGATTTACATCAACTGCCATTTGAACACAGCGTGGTAAGTGGAAATATTAAAATGGAGGCAGATGTTCACGCGTGCCATCAAGTGGGGAGCATCTTGTGGCTTAGTAGTGTCAGGAGGGCGACCTGGCTCTGTGTGGACACAGTGCTGTCACACACGTCACTGGGGTCTTGGGCAGCCTGCCTCATCTCCTTGGGGTGACTGACTTCATACTTCAGTTCAGACAAAAGGAGGGAAGAAACATATTAACATTTGTTCAGTGTTGCTTGGGTCCAGACGCCATGCAGGATGCCTTTGCTGTTTTCTAAATTGTTACTGAATAAAATTCATCGTTTTCACACTGCTGTTACCTGGAGCCTTTCTGACCGACAGGCTCCTGGCAGTGATCGGGTCTCTCTGTGAAGATTCACTGTCTTCATTATGCCCATGAGTTCTGAGTTAGAGACTGGCGGCCGTGAAGTTACCTGTTCGCCACCCCTGCGGTTCAGTGCCCTGGGTAAGCCCGGCAGGCCAGGGGAACAGAGCAGTGAGAGAGAGAGAGCCTGAGGCAGACACACACAAAGGCATACTGAGATGCTGACCCGGATATATAATTTAGAAACTTCTGGGTTATTAAAATATGTTAATAATCATAGCTGCATTTGAAATCGTTTCCTGGGTACAATTCTGTGTTTCAAATATTGCTCCACAAACTGATGTTAAAGCAGCCAAAAGACTAGCAGTATAGCACATTTAATCGACATCTGTTGAATCCTTTAACTTGTTGAGCTGGGACTGATAGACAAGGCGAATGCTTAGTGACTAGGGGTCTTGTGAGTCTGTGCTTATTACTTCATTCAGTTAGTGACTTCAGTGTTAGTCAAGCCAGAACACAGCAAATCCAGTGAAGAATAATAAGCAGGAGTGAGTGTTCTGAAACAAAGAAAGGATTCTGCGGTATTTACTTTTGTGGGCGTGTCTGGGACACCTTGATGTCTGTGAATGAATTTCACATTTTGAAAAGCCGCTGATTCGAGATTCGAGTCCTGGCTGCTCCACTTCCTATCCAGTTCCCTGCTAGTGGCCTGGGAAAGCAGCAGAAGATGGCCCAAGTGTTTGGGCCCCTCCCACCCATGTGGTAGACCTGGAAGAAGCTCCGGCCTTCTGGCTTTGGCCTGGCCCAGCCCTGGCCATTGTGGCTATTTGGAGATAACCAGCAGATGGTGGTTCTCTCTCTCTCTCTCTCTCCTTTTCTGTAATTCTGCCTTGTAAATAAATAAATATCTTTAAAAAAGAAAAGAAAAATCGTCATCTTCAAAAAGGAGCTCAACTTAAAAGTTCTCCAACCATGGTATTCCAACCCCCCCCCCCCCGCCCCGCCCCCAATCAGGGAGTCAGCTTGCTACAGAGATCATTTTCAAGAACCGGCTCCAGTATGCTGGAGCTTGGCTAGGCTCAGTTACTGCCAGGCGGGCTGGAGTGGAGCCCCGGTCCACCCTCCTCCAGTTGTTACAAGTGTATTGAATTAAATTTTAATTGCAATTAAGCCACTTAATGTTGCTTATGTTTTAGTTCTTAAGAGGTTTCTCCTTTTGGGCTCTTGTTTCTTGTTTTTATTTTTCTTTATTTCATTTTTCTCATCTAGAAACAAAATGGAAGAGAACAGGGTAATGTATTTAATCTAAAAGACTGCTAAAAGTAAAAATAAATACTCAACACTGAAAGATGTATCTGTGCCCTGATTCCAGGCACAGTCCTGCGCCCCTTGGTTTTTCTAGATATCACTTACGGGAAGCATTTGAATGACTCTGGAGTATTACTTGAGTATTTACTGAAGATCTTTTATGAAATAAACCAGAGATGCCCTGCGGTTCGCAGCCTTTGTCCGTTGTTTCACTGCTCTCTGATTGCAGTGCTTAGTTTCTGTGAAGGATCTGTGAGAGCCTGTGAGGGTGAAACAAAACCAACAAAACCACACCAGAGCCCTCCGCGTGCCAGGTGAGGCCTGCACGGTGCAGAGTCGTTGGTTCTGTTTGGTGCGTACAGAGCTTGTGAGTCGGTCGCTTCACGGCTTTCAACTTGCCTGTCTCTCTCAGTCCACTGCTCTGTGCAGAGGTAGTTAAGTCTCTCAGACGCATTCACTTGGAACAAGGGCAAGGGATGGCTGCTTTTCATCTCGGCAGTTAACCCTGGAAAATAGTTTCATCCCCCTTTTTTCCCCCAAAGATCTATTTATTTATCTGAAAGGCAGAGAATAGGCAGATCTTCCATCAGCTCCCTGGTTCACTCCCCAAATGTCCACAACAGCCAGGGCTGGGCCAGGCCGAGTCCTGGAACCAGGAACTTCTGGGTCTGTTGTGTGGCTGGCAGGGACTCAAGTGGTATTTGCTCGAGCCGTCACCTGCCGCCTCCCAAGGATCACTTGAGCAGGAAGCTGCTATTGGAAGCATAGGGGCCAGGCCTTGAACCAGCACTTTGCTAAGGGACATGGCTGTCCCTACTGGCAGCTTAACCCTCCGTGCGACAGTGCACAGCTCACCTTTGTTGCTTTTAAAACCATATATCCTTTCAGGAGAAACAGACTGATCACTGTTAATAATGGAAATTTGTCAGTGTTTGCCTGGTTTCACTTCCGTTGGTTGGAAATATACATATATATCTAAATCAAATTTTCAGATAACCAGCTTTGAACCATCAGCTATATTAAATAAAGTTAATTAAAGTTAATAAAGCTATGGATCTTATCTTTAGCATAAGCTTTAGTATATAATACTGAAAACAATAATTTTCATTTCAATGGTCCTGTTAGTTTACTTTCGTAAACATGCGTTAATTAAGTGATCTTTACAGGCACTCCCAGAGCGTGTGATTTACTTAGATAGGTGGTGAATGCCAGAGTCATTCAGTTTGGAACTTCAGTCCTGTCCTTTTATTGTCTTTGGCTCTTCTCTACCTTGCTAACTCCGTTCAGAGAGCTTAAAAGTGGTCATAATTGATCATAGAAGTAATCAAAGTGACTTGTTTTGCCCTCGCCTTGGGTTATTTTAAAGCATGGAGTTCTCCTTTCCCACTTATGCAGCTCTGTCCTATTCGTGAAAACAATTATTTGTGAGAAGACGGGTTTATGTTATTTCCGACAGAGAGGTTGATGGATGTGTTTATGACAAGGGAATGAGAAAATTGTCTTCCAGTGGTCGTGAATTGCACGTGACCAGATCCAAGTGCATCTCCCTGCTCACTGCCATTGCGCCATGGGAGATGGATGTGTATTGTGTGTTCTTTTGGGTATTTTACAAAAATTTATCAGCACTCCTTGCTTTGATGAGGTATTTTTTTCTTATATTTCTGCAGGTTTTTTTTTTTTTTTTGGTTTAACTTTTTACTTTTAAAATGTTAATATTTGAAAACATAAGAAGAATTCCAAAAGTTTGTTAAAGCAGGATTAAAAGTTGTTTTTGGCACAAAATTTTTTGAAATCCATGGATATGTTTCTCATAATAAGAGTTTTCCATGAAGTTTTTGAAGGCCTCTTGTATGAGCCCTGAACTGTTCAGGTATCTAGACGCTTGGTTTTGTTCAAGGTCTTCCTGAATTGAGGAGAAAATAAATTATATGTGGAGTGCTTGATGACTAACAATGACAATAGTCTTGGACACTCTGGACCCTTCTGGGACCACAGAAGACATGGCTGGATGATGAACAAAAAGAAATGGTCGGAAGAAACCAGTGCAGAGAAGAGAAAAAGGATTAGTTCTGATGAGGAGCTGAGGACTTTAAAAAGTAACTGCTGCTTGGCTGGCGCTGCGGCTCACTAGGCTAATCCTCCGCCTTGCGACGCAGGCACACCGGGTTCTAGTCCCGGTCGGGGCGCCGGATTCTGTTCCAGTTGCCCCTCTTCCAGGCCAGCTCTCTGCTGTGGCCAGGGAGTGCAGTGGAGGATGGCCCAAGTGCTTGGGCCCTGCACCCCATGGGAGACCAGGAGAAGCACCTGGCTCCTGGCTTTGGATCAACGCGATGCGCCAGCCGCAGCGGCCATTGGAGGGTGAACCAACAGCAAAAAGGAAGACCTTTCTCTCTGTCTCTCTCTCTCTCACTGTCCACTCTGCCTGTCAAAAATTAAAAAAAAAAAAAAAAATTAAAGTAACTGCTGCTGGGGGCTGGTGCCGTGGCATCCTGCAACGCCAGCATTCCATATGGGCGCTGCTTTGTGTTCTGGTTGCTCCAGTTCTGATCCAGCTCCCCACTGATGGCCTGAGAAAAGCAACAGAGGATGGCCCAAGTGCCTGGGCCCCTGCATCCACATGGGAGACCTGAAAAAAGCTCCTGGCTCCTTCCTGGCTTCGGCCTTGCCCAGCCCTGGCCATTGGCCCATTTGGGAAGTGAAACCAGCAGGTGGAAGATAATCAGTCTCCCTCCCTCTCTTTCTCGCTCTCTCTTTCTCTTTCTGTGTGTGTGTAACTCTGCCTTTCAGATAAATAAACTTCTATTTATTGAAAGGTAGTTACAAAGAGGCAGAGAGAGAGAGAGAGAGAGAGAGAGATCTTCCATCTGCTGGTTCACTCCCCAGATGGCCTCAAAGGCCAGAACTGGGCTGATCTGAAGTCTGGAGCCAGGAGCCTCTTGTGGGTCTCCCACGTGGGTACAGGGGCCCAAGGATCTGGGTGGGCCATCTTCTACTGCTTTCCCAGGCCATAGCAGAGATCTGGATTGGAAGTAGAGCAGCATGACTCGAACCAGTGCCCCCATGGGATGTCTGCACTGCAGGAGGCAGCTTTATACATTAAGCCACAGCACCGACCCCAATAAATAAATATTAAAAAAAAAAAAAAAGTAACTGCTGTTACAGGTTTACCTCACTATTTGAAGCGATGTGGAGCTGGGAGACCTCACTTAGATTTCCTGTGTTGCTGTCATTCTGTGTGTGACTCTGCCTTGTTCATCTAGAGACTGCCCACTGAAAAATACAGCCTTGAAAATCAAATCACATTTTGACTGAAAAGCCCCCCGTTGGGGGCAGGTGTTGGGCACAGGCGGTTTGTATCTTTGGAGGTTGCCTACTTTCTAGAGTCCCACTGTTGGCTGTTACACTCAGTGGGAAAAATGCTATTTCTTGCTCATTTTTATATACTTTGAAATTTAGAACCACTCAATTTCACATATTCTTGCCTTCCTAGAGTAACAGATGATCTCATTTTGACTACTATTTTGCCTAACAGGAAACCTGCAGACCTGCAAAACTTGGCTCCCGGGACCCACCCACCGTTTATAACTTTCAACAGTGAAGTCAAAACGGATGTAAATAAGATTGAGGAATTTCTTGAAGAAGTCTTATGTCCTCCTAAGTGAGTATCAAAGAAAATATGCATGGAGATATTGACCCGTTGTCTAGAGACATTTGTCCTGATTATACTTAAGTTAAATTTTCACAGAATTAGTTTGGAATTAGTAGAACTCTCTCTTCTAAGTTACTTAAAAATGAATGCTACATAGATGTCAGAATTGGCTTCTGGCTGGGCCGATAAGCCATACTAAGAAACGTGGAAGTCTGCCTAAGCTGTATTGTAGGAGATGAAAGCAAGTTTGGGACATGTGAGATATGTCAGCAAACTCTTTTTGTGGGTTTTAGGCCTCAAAATAAGAGACATGTAGGTCGGAGAAGGGGTAGGGAAAGACAGGCTCCAAATGAACCCCATCTGAATTTGGTGTGAGCTGCGATGAGATTTGATCTGAGTCTATTTTTTTATGATTTGTTTGATTTATTTGAAAGGTAGAGTTACAGAGAGAGAGCGAGAGGTAGAGAGAGGTCTTCCATCTGCTAGTGCACTCCGCAAATGACTGCAATGGCCGGGGTTGGGCCAAGCCAAAGCCAGGGATCCAGGAGTTTCATCTGGGTCTCCCACATGGGTGCAGGGGCCCAAGCACTTGGGCCATCCTCCACTGCTTTCCCAGGTGCATTAGCAGGGAGCTGGATCAGAAGTCGAGCAGTCAGGACTGGAACCAGTGCCCATACGGGATGCTGGTGCTGCAGGCGGTGGCTTAACCTGCTACAATGCCAGCCCCTCAGTCCATTTTTAAGGTAACTTTCTGAAGCTGCAATGCAAGGGACTCGATTGTTTTCTCTCTGTATTTCTGGGACTGAGTTTTTATTCTTAATTCTTGATGTTCCTGACCTCCAGGTCCTACATATGCTATAATGAAGTTACCTAAATTGTGAACACATGGGTTTGCATCATGCTATGACCTTGGCATAGGTTCAAGGCATTCTTGATTTATTTTAGGCTTTTCCACCTCATTATCCTGAAATCTGATCGGTTTCTTTTCCTCTGGCTCGAGCCCTTCTTGCTAACTTGACTTTCACCTCCTATGTCCAGATAAACTTGTCAGGAATGGGATTATTGGGTCATATAGATTGGTGTTTGTCCACTCATTCAGATGCAGTTACAGGGCCACAAAGCACGACAGCTAAGGCGCAGTTGCTTCCCACAGTGAGCAGGTGGGGTGTGGCTGGCTCCAAGGTGTTAGTGGGGTGGGAAGGTGAGAGGAATTGGGAAAGGCTGTGGTGAAGATCCTGCACTTGAGCTGAGCCTTCCTCAAGTACCATCTGGCAGATGCACACAGAAGACGCATTTGGAAGAGACGGTGTTTGTTGTGGGGTTCCCGAGAAGGCGCTGGAGCACAGCATGCAGCGCTGGGAGCGCAGGCAGGAAGGCTGCTGCGTGAGCAACGTGCCCCTGCCTGCAGCGGGCCATCACCTGCCGTGAACACAGTTGCCCTCTGTTAGCAGTCTTGTGCAGAGCCTAAAATTTCACTCTCTTAATCTCTCTGTATGCTAATTCTGACAGCCTGTCCTCTACCGTCCTTGCTGTCCTGAGAGCCTCCAACGTCTCTCTCTCCCAGGAGCCCTCGCTTGCCTTCCATATCCAGGAAAGCACCTCCAGACCAACTTTAATAAAACTATGTCTTAGTCTTTCCTCCAGGCCATGATAGAATTAGAATGCCAATAAATCAAAACTGGGATTTTGGGGCTGGTGCTGTGGCACAGCAGTTTAAAGCCCTGGCCTGCAGTGCCCGCGTCCCATATTGGTGCCGGTTTGAGTCCTGGCTGCTCCACTTCAGATCCAGCTCCCTGCTAATGCTCCTGAGAACATAGCAGAGGGTAGCCCAAGTGCTTGGGCTCCTGCACCCATGGAGGAGACCTGAAAGAAGCTCCTGGCTCCTGGCTTCGGATCAGCTCAGCTCCGGCCATTGCAGCATTTAGGGAGTGAACCAGCTAATGGAAGATCTCACTCTCTTTCTCTGTTCTACCTCTCTTTGTAATTGTTTCAAATAATTAATAAATACAAAAATCTTTAAAAAAAGAAGCTACAAAATTAAAAAAATACCTGAGATTTTTGTAAAATAAGAATTAAAGCTGTATACACACCAGTGACTATTATGAGCATTCATTCAGCTAAGTGCAATTCGCTTTTGAAAGAACCTACTAATCCCTTTTACTCGAAAGGGCTGTCAGCTTCTCCTGTCTGCCAGCTTGTCCTCAGGTATTAATTGAGAGCAGGTCTTCCGCTCATGTAGGTGTCACTCACTGCGTTGGTGTTTATTAGAGAGAAGTGTTGGAGTGACTCACTCATTTTCTGTGCAGGAAACTGCTTTGTTTTAAAGCATTGTTTGAAGTGCATACTGTATGAATCATTGCAAATATGTATAAATTTTCAAAGGCCTTGTGCTGGTAGCATTCACTCATCTAGCACTTGAATTAGGTGGACGTTTACTCATATTGTCCAGCCTTTGTCAACAACAGTGATAAAATTAAGTATGTCATATTCCATCTGGTTATTTTGCTCAGAAGGAATACATTTTTATTTTGAGAAATAGCTAACAAGAAAATATTCTGCTCTGTAAAGCATCACAACTTTGAATTGGCCTCGAAAGTAAACATTTTCAGTTTGTTTTTATGTGGACACATCACTTCCATTTTGGTTGGGTATATTCACAGAGATCCTGTAAGCAGAGATGTGATTTTCTTCTAGTTTCAACACTTGGAAATCTTTCGGTTTTCAGTGTTCACAGTGTGCTAAATTCCTTCTAGGGATATGTTTCTTGTTTTTGTGTTGTAGCTTATATTTTGTTTGTTTTTTAAGGATCTATTTGAAAGGCAGAGCATCAGAGAGGGAGAGACAGGTCTTCCATCCGCTGGTTCACTCCCCAAATGACCGCCATCGCCAGGGCTGGGCCAGGCTGAAGCCAGCAGTGAGGAGCTTCATCTGGGCCTCAGATGGGTAGTAGGGGCCCAAGCACCACTGCTTTCTCTGGAGGATTATCAGGGAGCTGGAGGAGAAACACAGCCAGGATTTGCAGGAGTGCTCCAATATGGGATGCTGGCATTCCACACAGAGGTTTAACCCACTGTGCCACAGTGCCAGCCCCTGTAGTAGATATTTTGAAGAATTTATAAATAACGTTTTGAAATTTCACTTTATATATAAAGGGATTGCTTTGATGCTACAGGTGCATCTGCTCATAACACTCAAATGCCAATTATGTGCCATGCTCTGTGCTTTGCGGATTTTCTCAGTTGATCCTCAAAATTATGTGAAGAAACTGAAGATGGCAAATCCTAATGACTTGTCCAAGGTTTCACAGTAAAGGATGACAGGGCTGGGATGCCGGAAACCAGACGGCTATGACCACAATAGCCTGTGTTTCTTCTGTTCTCTCCATCTTACTTCATGGAGTTTGGTTTTTGTAAAAGAGGCAAAATTTAAGTCTTTCGTTGGGGTTATGCTTTAGTGAATACAAAATTACTGAGCCATCTCGAGTTTGGAGGGAGGGTAGCAGAGAAACCAGAGAGGGTTTCCTTGGCTGATGAGCAAGGGAGACTGAAGGTGGGTGGTCAGACCCTGAATCCTTAAAAAAAAGAAGCACCTAGGTGAGGTCTTATTTCTGATCAGCTTTTGTCTTCCTCTGTGTTGAAACTGTGTTTGGATGGGAGTGCCTTTCCCTTGGTGGGCTCTGCGAGCCATCCCGGAGACACTGGTCACTCAGCATAAGCTCTCGTCCTGTGGAGTTGCTTCTCCAGGACCAGTGGGAAGAGGAGCTGTCCCGGGAGCGGCGCCTGCAGTCTTTCTCTTGCAGTGTCCAGCACAGCCTGGGACAGCACGCCGCCTCACTGATTTTCCCCAGGACAGTCTGATGCTTGCTGCTGCTGCTTGTGAGCGTTCTTGTTCCCAGATAACGCGAGGAGGGAAGGCAGAAGAGTGAGGAGAGCCGGCAGGCTGGAAGCTGGCACTTCTGTGTTTCTGGCCCTCGGTGATAGTGAGAACAGAGTGTTGTTATGTGAACACTTCCTGATTTAATCGTGACAAATATCAATACAGGCAATTGTATACTCCAGTTGCTTAAAATTTCAGAGAAAAGTTTAATGGAAAGCTTAAAGCAAGATACTTGCTGGCGTGTGTGACTGGGGGTTTAAAGTGAACACTCTTTTTCTCTCTGGGGAAAGTATGTTTTAATTCCTGCTTGAGTGAAGGAACTACTTTGATTTTTAACTGAAGCAAGCCTAAAATACTTGGCTCACTTAGTGATAAAAGGATAGAACGGGAAGGAAGCCAGATAAATTTGGAGAATTTTACACAAAATGTTAAGTCTTTAAAAGAAATGCAGTGAAAAGTTCGAGGATTATTTATTTTTAGTTTCTCTTTCTCTCTGCCTTTTAAATAAAGAGAGAGAGATCTCATCCACTGCTTGATTCTCTAACTTCCCACAGCAGCTGGGGTTGGGCCAGGCCAGCACCCAGAGCCCTGAGCTCAATCCAGGGCTCCCACAAAGGTGTCAGGGACCCAAGCACTTGCTGCCTCCCAGGGTGCAGGTGTTAGCAGGAGCTGGACTCGTAAGCAGGACTGACACTCGAGGCCAGGTGCTTTGATGTGGGGTGAGGGTGTCCCAAGCTATGCCACGCAGCCACCCCATGAGGGTAATCTACTGTTCTGTATAGCCAGCCTTCTTTCTTATAGTAACATAGAAAAGACAGTGCCCGCCAGCTTTCCTGAAAGGATAGACGTGTTCGTGGCTGGTCTACTGTTAAGTCTGCGATGCAATACGGAAGAAAGAACTGATCTGAAAACCCGGCACTCTGGCTGCTAACATCTGTTCTGTCGTTACCACATAGACTTGTAAGAGTTACATGCCTTACTTTTCTTAATTGTTAAGATGAATGTTCACACTACTTGAATATGCTCGATCAAACTGCTAAAGTTAACGATGGATGAATGAAAAGCTAATGTTTGGGCAGAGTACAAAAAATTGACAACTGAGTTTAGACATACTGGTGTTTGGGGTTTAACTTTTAGAGAGAATCTGATCTGTAATTGAAAACAAAGCAGGAAAAAAAAAAAGAACTCTAAACTTAGGGACAAGAAGTCTGAGTTTTGCCTTATAGAGAACTTTAACAGCTTCTGCTTTCACACGAGTGAGGATGTCCTGGCTGCTAGTCCTGTCACTCTTAGTTCATCTCGGTGGATCTGTAGTTGGGACTCGTAAGCGCGCCTGCATGTGTCCATCATTACACCACAGTACACTGCCTGACACGTCGTTCTCAACGCTTATAAGTGGACGTATGCATGAATAACGAATGCATAAACGATCTGTAATTCAGGCCTTTCCTCCTGTTAAGTTATTTTGAGAATTCTGAGGTTACATCCTAGGAGAGTGTCGGGACACCTAAATACCGGTGGGGAGAGGAAGAATTGTGGAGAGTTGGCTGGAGGAAAGCAGATGCGAGGGAGAGAGCACTGCTGGTCCCTGCACTGTCTTCTGTGTGGTGTGGGCGGAGTCGGTGAAACGCCTGGATGATAGGCGTGGAAACTTTGATGGTGGAGGCTGCTTGTTTTGATGACCAAGAGAATCCAGGGTGTTGGGCCTGAGACTAACCGTCAGCCCAGGCAGGAGGAAAGATGAAAAGAGAGAGGGAGAGAAAAGTCTTGTGTAATTAGGAGGGAAAACATCTTATGTCTGTAAATTCAGGTGAAATGTTCTATAATTGCTCATTGAGAAAGTCTCCAAGCAAATAATTGTGCTTGTAAAAAAACTCTCTAAGATAGAAACTGAGATATATTTGGAACCTAGCTAGACCTATTAAGAAGTAATATGGGTAGGGGAGGCATATTCGGCCTAGTGGTTAGAACGACCACTCCCATATTGCAGTACCAGGGTTTAGTACCTGGCCCTATGGCTCTGTCCTCCTGCTGCCGTGGACCTTGGGAGACAGAGGTGATGGCTCAAGTGACTGGGTTCCCACCACCCATGGAGGAAACTTGGATTGAGTTCCTGGCTCTAGGCTGGGGCCCACCCAGGCCATTTTGGGCATTTGGGGAATGAACCAGTATATGGGAGTTCTCTTTCTCTGTCTCTTTGCTTCTCACATAATAAAATAGAAACAAAGAGAGGGATAGCTTGAGCATAGATATTTTATATCCTTCCCAGTATGGTACTGTGCTCAATTTTTAGACCATATTTCTCTGCCTTAGTTTGAAATAGCAAACAGAAAGAACGTGAATATGAAAACTAAACTGAAACACGGCTTGCAACTGAACTAAATTTCTCACCTTCACTTTTTTTTAAAGATTTATTTATTTGACAGGTAGAGTTGTAGACAGAGAGAGAGAAGGGTCTTTCTTCTGTTGATTCACTCCCCAAATGCCACCACAGTCAGTGCTGTGCCGATCTGAAGCCAAGAGCCAGGTGCTTCTTCCTGGTCTCTCATGCAGGTGCAGGGCCCAAGCACTTGGGCCATCCTCCACTGCCTTCCCAGGCCACAGCAGAGAGCTGGACTAGAAGAGGAGCAACCAGGACTAGAACCTGTGCCCATATGGGATGCTGGCGCCGCAGGTGGGGGATTAACCTAGTGCGCCACGGCGCTGGCCCCAACATTAAACTGAGAAGATACTATCTTCAAACATATAAATTAAAGTAACTTGTTTCACACAACATTTTCTCCAGTCTTAGTTTTCCCAAGTCCCTTTTTCAAACTTTTTTTTTTTTTAAAGATTTATTTTATTTATTTGAAAGAGTTACAGAGAGAGGTAGAGACAGAGAGAAAGAGAGGTCTTCCATCCGCTGGTTCACTCTCCAGATGGCTGCAACAGCCGGAGCTGAGCCAATCGGAAGCCAGGCGCCTGGAGCTTCTTCCGGGTCTCCCACGTGGGTGTAGGGGCCCAACGACTTGGTCCTCTTCTGCTGCCTTCCCAGGCCACAGCAGAGAGCTGGATCGGAAGAGGAGCAGCTGGGACTCGAACTGGTGCCCATATGGGATGCCGGCACTTAAGGCCAGGGCTTTAACCCACTGCCCAACAGAGCCGGCCCCAGATTGATTGATTGATTTCGAAGGCAGAGTTAGAGAGAGAGAGAGATCTTTCAGTTGGTTCACTCCCCATTGGCCACGATGGCCAGGGCTAGGAAGCCAGGTACTTCTTCTGAGTCTCCCATGTGGGTAAAGGGGTCCAAGCACTAGGGCCCTCTTCTGCTGCTTTTCCTAGGCCATTAGCAGGGAGCTGGATCAGAAGTGGAGCAGCCAGAACTTGAACTGGTGCCCATATGGGATGCTGGCACTGCAGGCGCAGCTTAACGTGCAGCGCCGTGGTGCCAGCCCTGGTGTCACTACTGAGAGGGCTTTAGAGCTGTGCTGTCTAGTGACTCCTGAGCACTCGAGTGTGACCAGTACCAGGAAGGAAGGACTTCATTTCATTTCATTGTGATTAGTTTAAACCCGTAAGCCTCACGCCCCTAATGGCTCCCATGAAGTTACAGAACATTTCCCTCGTCGCAGAAAGTTGTCTTGGATAGTGGTACTTGAGAGAAGTCCATCCAAGATGCCCGCTGGCCTGGCACACATCTCTGAGCACGTGGCTCTTCCTCCAGCCTCTGATTTCTCAGGTGGAGGTGGAGCGCGGCTTCCCTTCTGCTCCCAAAGCTGTGAATGGGTGAGCAAGAGGCCTGCTGACTTTGTTTCTTAAGGAGAACACTCTTGAAAAACAGCGTGGGGAACAAGTGATGACGGTAGCTCTTAGAGTGAAAACTGCTACATGGTGGTGAGGAACTGCCAGCACACTGGTCTGTTGATGAAAAGAACTTAGGCACCTTTGAAGGATCCATAATGCATTCCCACCTTTTCTATTTAGGTACTTAAAGCTTTCTCCAAAACACCCAGAATCGAACACTGCTGGAATGGACATCTTTGCCAAATTCTCTGCATATATCAAGAATTCAAGGCCAGAGGCCAATGAAGGTAAGAAAATAAATAAAAAATCGAATAACCACTGTGGGAGGAAGGGCGGGAGAGGGGAGAAGGGAACTGAGCAGCCATGAACAATTGTGACAGTGATTATGAAGAACTGAGGCCAGGCATCAGTAATTTGGAGCCTTGGCGCTAAAAACTCTTTCAGAGTTGATTTGATAATAAACTGGAGGAAGTCCTAAAATTGCTATTTTTCCTGTGTGTCTAGCCAATAGTATAAGTGCCTGATGTGTCTGTGTGTAATAAAATGTTTTTTGAATGGCAGTGTTTCATATTCTTTTGAGAAGTCCAACGAAGGAATCTATGCAAGGATGGTACATCACACAATGGATTGTGGGGTTCTGGTGGTTTGGGACAGATTGATCTACCTAATTTAAACTCTTGCTGAATCTTTTGTTTACTGTTAGATACCAGTAGCCTAACATCAGCTGGGTGGGGTGTTTTCCTGTTGTTGATTTTGGGTGTTGGTACTAATTACCCTTAAAGGGCAAGTTTTTTGGAGTTGCTTTCAGAGGGTAACTAGACTGACCAGCCTTCCAAATTTGTCTGGGTCATAAAACTAGAATTTTAGGTTCAAGTCACATTGCATGGAATGGATTGCTTAGGTAGTACGGCTGCAGGTGTTTTTGTTTGTTTTTACAAAGGGACACTAATGTTATTTCACTTTGAAAGAAAGTCTCTTCCAAAGAGGCCCCGTTCAATGAACCTTAACTATACCATTCAGTAATCGAAAAGTAGCAATAATAACCGAAAAAGCTGGCTGCTAAAATACTTGAATTCATCATGGGTTTAGACAGTTTGGTAGATTGGGTGGGGCTCTTTTGGGTAGAGGTTCATGTCAGTGAATGACCATAAAAACCAAACGGAAGAAATGTCAGCGCTGGTTAAACAGCAATAAGTACCTTAAAAAAAAATGTCAAGCACTCACTAATTCCCTTCCGTAGGCAGATTTCCAGGCTATTTGGGCTGTTTTTTTATTACTAAATTGTAGCAGTTTTTAATTGAGCATTAAAGCTCAACATCTTTTGCTCTTGGTTTCTGGAATAATATTCACTGCATGAAATGTTTTTCTACAGTGAAAGGGGAAAGGGAAATGTTAGAGCCGGGGCCTGGCTTGTGTCTGCTACTCACGTGCTCCGGAGCTGCCGGGGTTCGGAAGCAATCTTCTGTAGTGATTGGCCTTTCCCGGCAGATGTTTCCGTCTCAGCAGTGTGTGCACTGAGTAGGGGGCTGTGCTGGAGCCCCTTGTAGCCACAGATGGTGTCTTTTCTGTTCCAGCCTTTTATACCCTGTGCCCTTGCTGCACGAGTCTTCGACCTCTCTTACTTAACGTTAAAACGCTTTTATTTCTCCGTGCGGGTTTTGGGAGCTGGAGGGTGGTTGAATTTCTTCTGATACTTAGTGGGAAAGAGAATGTGTTTGCTTTTGCTTTGGGGGCCAGGGGTAGGGGGGTGGGTAGAAAAAAAGGGAGAAAATGACTCACTTAAGTATAACTTTGTATTTTATTTTCCTATCAATTTGTTACTGTCTTAAGTGGCCACCTACGCTTACTGTCCTCAGCAGTAAGAACAAACAGCACCACGGATCACATGGTGCATAACTTGGGAGGCTTTCTATTCAATTACCTATTGGTAAATAAGACTTCCAGTTGCCAAGCAACGGCCCTCCGCGGGCCCTGTCGCTGGTGCTAGACTTTAGGAAACATGATTCCAGGTGGCTCCGGAGTCCTGGGGCTCCTCTACTGTGCCTGTTTCGGGTCTTCCACCGGCGGGGTGGGATCAGGGCCCTCAGCGCACCTAGGGAATGAGAGCTGCTACGCAGCGTGGCAGTTTACGCACAGGCGGGTCTGTCATTTTACCTGGTAATCGGAACCAAGGGATCTTTGCTGAGTTTTGCCAGTCTGTTAAGTGTTTTACCAAATCCAGTATATCTGCATAGTTTTAAGATCCTTTTAGGATCAGAGTCCAAGTAAGGAGTTAGATGCCTAGAGGCTGGTTTTGGGCCAGTGAAGGACCAGTGCTTAGACTGGGGCACAGGATGAACAAATGAGGTTTAAAGACTACAATAAGGGCCGGCGCCGCGGCTCGCTAGGCTAATCCTCCGTCTTGCGGCGCCGGCACACTGGGTTCTAGTCCCGGTCGGGGCGCCGGATTCTGTCCCGGTTGCCCCTCTTCCAGGCCAGCTCTCTGCTGTGGCCAGGGAGTGCAGTGGAGGATGGCCCAGGTGCTTGGGCCCTGCACCCCATGGGAGACCAGGAAAAGCACCTGGCTCCTGGCTCCTGGCTCCTGCCATCGGATCAGCGTGGTGCGCCGGCCGCAGCGCGCCGGCCGCGGCGGCCATTGGAGGGTGAACCAACGGCAAAGGAAGACCTTTCTCTCTGTCTCTCTCTCTCACTGTCCACTCTGCCTGTCAAAAAAAAAAAAAAAAAAAAAAAAAAAAACCGCCCTACCCCAGTTAAGCGACGGAAAAGGAGGGGGAGAGTGAGAGAGAGTTTTTTTTTTTTTTTTGCTTGTTAACATGTCTAGGTTGATTGGGGGTGAAAGTTTGTATCTTTTTTTTAAGATTTTTATTTATTTGAAAGAGAGTTAGGAGGAGAGATACACACACAGATATTCCATCCTCTGGTTTACTCTCCAAATGGCTACAATGGCTGGGGCTGGGCTAAGCTGAAGCCAGAAGCTCAGAGCTTCTTCCAGGTCTCCCAGGTGGGTGCAGGGGTCCAAGCACTTTTGCCATCCTCTGCTGCTTTCTCAGGTGCATTAGCTGGGTTGGAAGTGGAGCAGCCAGGTCTTGAACTGGCATCCATATGGGATGCTGATGCTGCAGGTGGAGGCTTGGCCTGCTAGACCTTAACGCCGGCCCCGTGTAACCTTTTAAACCTTAGAAGAGAAAGCAATAGGTAATTCCTTTTATGGGGATGGCTTTGGTATGACCTGTCTCACACATTAATTTACATAACTTACTAAAGCTCCCAGACTGAACTTAGCATAGTGTTATTTATGGTGTTGAAATCTGCCGTAATACGTCCTGAGGCATATTTCATAATGTTCACATTCCTGTTTAAATGGAGGCAGGGAATCCAGAAGTTATGATTTGTTCCTTTTTATTCAAGATGCTCTTCCCATCCCCACCCCCTTTCTCTGTCTGTCTCTCTCATTGTCCCCCTGCTCTCTGGCTTTCTCTTAGAAAGTGTTGGGAGTCAGAGGAAGGATGATGAGCTGCCTTGTGTATTTAACCACACTTTCTGCGGATGTGTAATCTGACCTTTACACATAATTTGTGCAATGTTACCCTTTATTAAAACCCATATAGGGGCCGGCGCTGTGGCATAGCAGGTAAAGCTGCCACCTGCAGCACCGGCATCCCATGTGGGCACCAGTTCGAGACCCGGCTGCTCCACTTACCATCCAGCTCTCTACTATGGCCTGGGAGAGCAGTAGAAGATGGCCCAAGTCCTTGGGCCCCTGCACCCATGTGGGAGACCCAGAAGAAGCTCCTGGCTCCAGGTTTCAGATCAGCGCAGCTCCGTTGCAGCCAATTGGGGAGTGAACCAGCAGATGAAAGACCTCTCTCTCTCTCTTTCTCTGTGCCTCTGCCTCTGCTTCTCTGTAACTCTGCCTTTCAAATGAATAAATCTTAAAAAAAAAAAAAAGAAAGAAAACATGTAAAGGCTCAGCATTTTAAAATAATCTTCATTGTAATTTTTTTTTTTTTTTTTTTTTTTTTTTGACAGGCAGAGTGGACAGTGAGAGAGAGAGACAGAGAGAAAGGTCTTCCTTTGCCGTTGGTTCACCCTCCAATGGCCGCCGCGGCCGGCGCACCGCGCTGATCCGATGGCAGGAGCCAGGAGCCAGGTGCTTTTCCTGGTCTCCCATGGGGTGCAGGGCCCAAGCACCTGGGCCATCCTCCACTGCACTCCCTGGCCACAGCAGAGAGCTGGCCTGGAAGAGGGGCAACCGGGACAGAATCCGGCGCCCCGACCGGGACTAGAAACCCGGTGTGCCGGCGCCGCTAGGCGGAGGATTAGCCTAGTGAGCCGCGGCGCCGGCCTTCATTGTAATTTGTATTGTTTTTCAACAACACAGACACCTATGTTACCTTTGATATTTTCTGTGTTGAATTTTATTTATTGAAATCATGCAAGTAATAGAGAATGTGTACTTACTGAAGAAGTTGAGTATAAAAATAAATGTAGGGGGTCGGTGCTGTGGCACAGTGGGTTAAACACTGCAGTGCCAGCATCCCATTTGAGCACTGGTTTGAATCCTGGCTGTTCCGCTTCTGATCCAACTCCCTTCTTATGAACCTGGGAAAGCAATGGAAGATGGCCCAAGTCCTTGGGCCCCTACATACACATCAGAGACCTGGAGGAAGCTCCTGGCTCCTGGCTCCTGGCTCTGGCCTGGTCCATCCTGGGCCAGTGGGGCCTTTTAGAGAGTAAACCAGTGGATGGAAGACCTCCCTCTCTATCTCTCCTTCTCTCCACCCCCCTCTTTCTCTCTCTCTCTCTCTCTCTCTCTGTGTGTGTGTGTGTGTGTGTGTGTAACTCTGCCTTTCAAATAAATCTTAAAAGAAAAATAAATGTAACAGAAATCTCAGTGTTCCTCAAGCTGACATTACGTGACTTCTCCCCAACAGTGTGGTCTGCACTTCTGTGTGCTTTTGTTAACAGCTTGTGTGTGTATTTATGTGTATATCACACCATGAAGGCGTGTTTTTCACTTATGTGACAGAAATCCTTCCATGTCAAAATAACGATCTGATTTTAAATGCTACTTAGCATTCTGTAATATGGGTTTTTATTTAACCATTGCCCTGCTGGTAGACATCAGATTGTGTCCAGTTTTTCACGTTAACCAACAGTGCTGCCAACTGAGTTAGATTCCATATAGCTCAAAAGGTTTCTGAACTTTGAATTCTACTCTGTCTAGCCAGATTGTTCTCTAAGACGGCACACTAGTTTGTATTCCCACTAACATCAAAATATTTATTTCCCCACACTTCTGACCATGGAGTTTGTTAATTTTTAAAATTTTGCTGTATTTTCACTGACAAGAACTTACTGTAATATGGTTTTACCTGATTATATGGCCTCTATTGTACTTATTTTTTTTTTTTTTTTTTTTTTGAGAGCTTTTGAAATAGCTTGTTAGAGATATCAGTGTTACTACCCTAGGGGTATTGGAGAATAGCTGTACTCCTTAATAATTACAAGACAGCTTGTTTTTGATGGCCTACTACTGCCGACTAGTGGTTAATAGTGACATTGTCCTTGGCTTCACACATTCCTTTGAAATTCATTAGTCTTTAACATTTTATTGTGTTTATTGAATGGTGTTGTTTAATACCTCTTGCTACCTGTTTTTGCTTATTTGTTTCTTATGTTGATACCTAAAAATTGTATCGACATAATTGTTTTCATTAATATTTCCTTTTTAAAGCTTTATTTATTTGTTTGAAAAGCAGAGTTAGAGAGAGAGAGAGATCTTCCGTCTGTTGGTTCACTCCCCAAATGGCCGCAATGACTGTGCTGGGCCAGGCTGAAGCTGGGAGCCAGCAGCTTCCTATGGATCTCCCACACGGGTGCAGGGACCCAAAGACTTGGGCCATCCTCTGCTGATTTCCTGGGTGTATTAGCAGGGAGCTGGATTGGAAATGGAGCAGCTAGGTCATGAACCAATGCCCACATGAGATGCCAGCATCACGGGCGGTGGCTTAGCCTGCTACGCCAGCCCGCTGTTCTGATGTTCTCACGTGACTGAAAAATCACGTTTCAATTAGATACAGCAATTTAACTTTGTTGTAAGTGCTTTGTGAAGTTCAGAATTACAAAGAACAGAATTGCAATGTGGTGCTAGCCTCTTAATTTTCATGGATGCCTTGCATCTAGAAATATAAGCATTGTATATTATAAACCTTATAAACTTTGGTATTTTATTTTCATATTAAACATTTGAGAAGCACTTCAGGAAAAAGCATTCAAAGTAAGCCCAAGATCATAAACTTGCAAACTTGCAGTACCACTGAAGCGCCTGTGAAACATGACAGCGTTCAGTGGAGGCGCCTGGCATCCCTGTAGACCTTGCTTCTGCTCGCTGTGGCCTGAGCAGAGGACGGTCCTTGGATTCCAATACGTATTTATTTCGTATCCACTATCTTCTGTGGGAAGCATACTGAGCCTTCAAGTTGCTTGTTAAAAAAAACCTCTCTGTCTCTCTCTCTTTCGCTCTCCTCCCTCTTTTCCTTCTTCGCCCCTTCCCTCCAGTCTGTCGGGTTTCCCCCAATAAACTCTTTCCCTTAAAAAAAAAAAAAAAAACTTGCGATTCCACTGTCTCCTTTTTGAGGTGCCTCCACGACCAGCCTTTTGTCACGTCCTGAACCCCTTGCTCCCCCAGCTGCTTCTCCCATTGCCGACTTTTGTTGGCGGGAGAGTAAAGCTTATACGTTAACGGTACGCACTGTTACTAGCTCGCATGTCATCAATCAGAGGTTATGCCTGTTGTTTCTTGTTTGTACATGGCACTAATACCTGCGCTCTCCCAGCTCCAATGGCAGTGTTCTTCCTTAGCTTTATTTTACTGGGTTCTAGCACCCTGAACTGTTTATCTCTTCTCTAAGAAATGGCTTAATCCTGGCTATGACTGGGGTGACATTTTACCACCTGTCACACATTCCAATATGCTTGGTCTTTAATTATGTAAGAAACATCACCAATTCTTTGTTACAAAGGAGACTGTGTTTTATAGCAATAAGCAGCACTTACCTTGTTCCCATCTTCCCACAAAGATCAATAGTCAAGTGCAGATTTCTTCACTTCTCTGACTAGTATCTAGTTTACACTCTCACCTACGTTTGCTTCGAACCTTCCTAATACATTTTAAGAAATGTCAAATTTTTATTCTCAAGGTGTTGAGTTAGGGCAAGTGTTGACCAGGTGTCTAGTATGTGCTTAGGTCAGTTTGGTGAGGATTAAGGGATACGGTAGAAGCACAAGGCACAGACTCTGCCTTCAAAGAAGACATGGTGTAAGCAGGAAAGCAAGTTAATATTTTACCTTAAAAACAAGAGTTGGGGGCAGTCACCGTGGCACAGAGGGTTAAGCCGTGGCCTACAGTGCCAGCATCCAATAAGGGTGCCGGTTCGAGTCCTGGCCGCTCCACTTCTGGTCTAGCACCTCCCTTTCTAGGAGGGCAGTGAAGATGGCCCAAGTGCTTGGTCCCTGCCACCCACGTAGGTCGAGACCTGGATGGAGTTCCAGGCTCCTGGCTTAGCCCTGGCCATTTGGGTGCGTGAACCAGCAGACGGAAGATATCCTTTTCTCGGTGTCTCTCCCTTTTTTGTCACTCTGCCTTTCAAATAAATAAAATAATTCTTTAAAAAATTCTTTATCTTTGCTTCAAGATGTGATATTTTTATTTGCAGCCTCAAATTCACATGTATATCTGCAGTCAACTTTTTTTTGCTGTCTTTTCTGTGAGCCTCTGAAACTCACCATTTGGTTTATAGTTATTTACAATAAGTCTAATTCTAAGATATCCAGATCTCCTTTTCTTTCCTTTTTTTTAAAAAAATAGATTTATTGTATTTATTTGAATGGCAGTTACAGAGAGAGAGAGATCTTCCATCCGTTGATTAACTCCCCAAATGGCCATCATGGCTGGTGCTGAGCCGACCTGAAGCCAGGAGCCAGGAGCTTCTTCCAGGTCTCCTACATGGGTGCAAGGAGCCCAAGCTTTTGGGCCATCTTCTGCTTTGCCAGGCACATTATCAGGGAGCAGGATCGGGAGTGGAGCAGACGGGACTCCACCCGGCGTCCATATGGGATGCTGGCGCTGCAGGCGGTGGCTTTACCTGCCATGCCGTCCAATGCCTGGCCTGCGATGAAGGGGCCGGGGCATGAGTAGGCGGGAGCCATTTGGAAGATGATGTGTTGGGTTCGGACACAATGATATTGTTGGTGGAATATCTCACACATGCCGTGTGCAGCTTCACCTCTTTCCTTTAGGACCTAGCTTTGCTCAGCCTTGTAGCTTTATAGATCTGTGTGACCGGGTGCCACCTCATGACCAAGTACTGTAATGGCCAGAGTGAGTTCATGCATTCTGAGGGGGGTTGGAGCTCACGTTTGAAAAGAGATCAGCGAAGATCTCTGCTATTCCCTCTTCCTTTCTGATAGCATCCCCAGCCCTCTGTGCTAAGGGCCGCCAACCCTGACTTCCCAGAGACATAGTGGGTGGCTCTGTCCCACTTCTCCCTGAATTGTGACAGTCGTAGCATCTTCATCTGTTTGACTGGAGTATTGTAGATTGCACTGTGTCATCTGACCTCTGGGTTTCTAAGAGGTCCTGGCTTCCTGTGTGTGCTAAGAACCTCAGCTTCTGCTTGCATTGTCTGCACCTGTCTGTGCATTGCCCACACATAGTGCTGGTGCTTCTTAACACATGTGCTATGATAAACCTAACATTGCTGGGCAGCAGGACTGAAAGTTGAAGGCGATGATCTCTGTCTGCAAGATTTCCCTCCCTAGGTTCGAATGAATAGGTGTGCCTTTCCCGTTTTGCAGATTAGATATCGGCTTTCTTGGGCCGATGGCGTGTTTGTGTGTGAGGCATTTAGTTACTTTGTCTGAGAGGTTGACCACAGAGTTCTCATCTGTTGGTTCACCTGCAGGTGCCTGCATCAGCCGGGCTGGGCCAGGGCCAGAGCCAAAGCCAGGAGCTGGGGATGCAATGCAGGTCTCCCATGTGGGTGGGAGGGACCCAGTCATCCGAGCCTTCACCACTGCTTCCCAGGGTCTGTTTATCAGGACGCTGGAGTCAGAAACCAGAGCTTGGAATCAAACCTAGGTGCTCCCATGTGAGAAACACGTATAATTTTTAAAAAAATTTGTTGTTGGAGCCAGTGTTGGCATAGCAAGTTAAGCCACCACCTACAACTCCCATATGGGCACTGGTTCGAGTCCTGGATGTTCTACGTCCAATCCGGTTCTCTGCTAATAAGCCTGGGAAAGCAGCCCAACATGGCCCAAGAACTTGGATCACCCATGTGGGAATCCCAGATGGGCTCCAGGCTCCTGGCTTTGGCCTGGCCCAGCCCCAGTGGTCGCAGTTATTTGGGGAATGAAACAGCAGGTGGAATAGCATCCCCAGTCCCTCTGTGCTAAGGGCCGCCAACCCTGTCTCTATTTCTCTGTCTCTGTGACTCTGACTTTCAGATAAATACATCTTTTAAAAGAAATTATTGTTTTATTTGAAAGGCAGAAAGATACAGAGCCAGACACATCTTCATCTACTGGTTCACTCTCCAAATGCCTGCAGTGACCAGGGCTGGGCCAGGCCAGTCACATGCAAAGCCAGGAGCCAGGAGCTCCATCTGGGTAGCCCATGTGGGAGGCAGGAACCCAACTACTTGAGCCGTCACCTGCTGCCTTCCAGGGTGTATGTTAGCAGGGAGCTGTATTGGAGGCAGAGCTGGACTCACACCAAGCACTGTGATGGGGTGTGGACGTCTAAGCACCGAACATCCGCCCTCTCGACACAGACATCCTAACCACGAGGCTCAATTCCTGCTCCCGGGGCGTTTAGTTATAAACAAGCTCTCCCCACTCTCTGAAGTCTTCGTGCTTATTTGTTTGTTTGTCTCATCTCTTTCGCCGTGTGCGCAGGCAATAGGAGAGCTGGAACCTTGGGGGTCTCAGCTCTGAGCGCCTGGCGTAGGGCTGGCATTTGGGGAGCAGCGACTGAACGAGCGGTGCCTTTGCTGTGAGGTGCCCTCGCCCGCCTTCTTACAGCACCCACGCTGTTCTCTTTCCCCAGCGCTGGAGAGGGGTCTCCTGAAAACTCTGCAGAAGCTGGATGAGTACCTGAACTCCCCGCTCCCCGATGAAATTGACGAGAACAGCATGGAAGACATCAAGTTCTCCACACGTAAATTTCTTGATGGCAATGAAATGACCTTGGCCGACTGCAACCTGCTGCCCAAGCTGCACATTGTCAAGGTGGGTGTGCAGGAGTTGTGGGGGTTGCCGCGAGGCCTGGGTTGCATCTGCTTCCTGTGAACTCACCAGGAACCTCCAGACTAGGCCAGCTTAATGCTACTAAGCCTGTCTAGGCAATAGTTGGAAAATGCTAGGGTTAGTTAAATGGAAAAGTTGAGGCAAAACAAAGAAGAAGAATTTTTTCTCTGACTGCATAAAAATTTAAAACTGCAGTAGATAACTTTGAATTGGAGTTTGCTACCGTGACTCCATCGTCAAATTCTGCCCTGTGGGCCGTCTCTTTCTGGTCAGGGTCAGCCTTTATTATGTGAGGTCATGGGCCAGGCACTTTGCTAACTAGAACAGAAATGAGCAATAGTTGAGCAGTAACAATCTAAGAAAAGGAAAACAGAGGTCTGAAACAGTGTGCGCATTGTAAAATGCGTTTATCCAGTCATTTCACTTCACTTCTCTCTGGAGGTCCCGGGCAGGCTTTTGCAGGGCCTAGCGCACTTCTGAGTTTCTGGTATGTAGCTTCAGTCTGGGTCGTTATTTAAAACCGACTTCTTTCCAAACAGAGCAGTGTCAAAGAGTCACAGCTTGATCATTTGAGCTAATAATCAGAGAGGTGTCGGGTCTACAAGACCCGGACGGTAAACCTGTTAACTTCAGATCTCTTGGCTTTTCAGGTGGTGGCCAAAAAATATCGCAACTTTGACATCCCCAAAGGAATGACCGGCATCTGGAGATACCTGACCAACGCGTACAGCAGGGACGAGTTCACCAACACCTGTCCCAGCGACAAGGAGGTGGAAATAGCATATAGTGACGTCGCCAAGAGACTTACCAAGTGAGACAGCACTTACGCAAGAGATGCCTTCAGATCTCCCCCTAAGAACACGCTTCTCCTAACAGACTGCTCCTCTTCTGTCAAGTAGACGTTGTGTTTTGCATGAACATTGCCGTTATTCAAAATTAGGATCCAGGCTAGGCAAGGTGTAGTAGTTACCTAAAGCATACACTCCTGAGCAGTATTATTCGGAAGCCCCACCCCCCACCCCCGACTTGGAGACACTCCGCCGGCCGCACACTGTCTCGGGCAGGGAGCCCTCGCCGCCAGGGCCACTCACTGGGTGGAGCTGGCAGAACTTCTGCAATGCAGGTTCCCTGAACCATGAAACATCGTGGCCCCAGCTGGTGCGTGATGAATGCGTGGTACCAGGAATGGAGATGTGTTTGGGGGAATTCTGTGATATTTAGTAAGAGCATATGAAAGGGTCGCTATTGTATCAGAAATGGCCTCTCCTGCAGGCGCACCAGGAGAAATGGCCGTCAGGGAGAGTGCCTGCAGACCGTGCTGCCCGGCTTGGTGGGCTTCCCTGCCTTCTGCCCGGAGCGGAGAGGCTCAGAGTCTGGGGAGCAGGGTGGGACTTCCAGACCTCCCGGCTTTGTCCTTGCGGAGGAGCCGCGGAGCCCCGAGCCGCTGTGTACGCGCTGCCTCTTCTGCCCGCTCAGAACATCCGTGCTCGCTCTCTGCTGTTAAAAGCTGCTGCTTAGGGAAGCACCCAGACCCTTTCGTTGCTAGATCTTTGGAACAACACTACATAAACTGCCGCTCAGTCGGTTTAGCTATGGCAGCACAATGATTAGCCATGTAAAACTTAATTAACACTTAGAGAAATTAACCAAAGAGCGTAAGGTGGGTTTGGCAAAATCTCAAGTGAATTTGGTTTCTAAAGTGTATGTAATGTCCATAGTGAGAAAATGTGTAATCTCTGCCCCGCACCAGCAAGCTCAACACAGGTGATCGCGTGTCCCGTCCTGTCCCGTCCCGTCCCTGTCAGGTTGTGCATGGAGGGCTGGCCGCCCTTTTGGGCTAAATTGGAGTCGTCACGGTGTGTGTTTTCTGCAGCCTGGCTGAATCTCAATCAGCACTTCCTTGAGTTAGATTTGTCTGCAGCCACGTGGGGGAATCATGGTCAGCATGTTTTGTTTTTTATAAACTGAAGTCCTAAGCCATGAATTATTTGTGCTCTAACAGGGAAATTGAACTTGGTGAAAATAAAAGTTACTATGTACTATGTATTTATTAATTTTTTTCCAAGATAGACTACTCCTAAGACTGTGGTCGCGACTGCTGTAGGTAGGCCTTGGGTCATTTTTGCATTCAACTTGTGGAAGAAGTGCTATTTCCTCACCGGGTTTTCGTTTGGAAATGTCAGTTCACTGCTTTAAGAGGCCGTGCCGGTGCTGGTTCTGGAAGCCGGGGCTGCGGAGCCCAGCCTGCGGTGAGCCGGCAGTAACTGAGCGCCCACAGACCGCGAGGAAGGGCCGCGGCGGGCGGGCGGGCCGGCTGGGGAGCACCCTTCCCTTTCTCAGTGCGAATCCCGGGCTCCAGCTCCAGTGCAGGGAGCCGTGGCCGAGGCTCGGCCTGGGTCCCGGAAGGACCACTGTGCTGTTGTCCACGAGACCTTCCGTGGCCGTGGCCCGCACACAGGGCCCCCGGCACTGCCAGATGCTGCCTCAGAGTCTCGGGTATGAGAAACAGCTGAAAGAAGGGCTGTTGGTGGTGTCGGTGGGCGGTGGCCGGCGGTGCCTTGTTCCCCCGGGAGAGCCTGAGCCGGGTGCGGCGGTCCTGCCTCGGACCCTTGGTTTTTGTGTATCCAGTGGTCACGTGTGGCTGCCTCTCTGCGAGTGTCCCAGGACGCCAAATCTTAAGATTTTGGTGAAGACAGATTTATTTTTCTCTTTAAGGCTTTATCTAGGAAGTTAGTCAAATGAGTGATTGGCAAATGGACAAAGCTACTAAAAAGACTGATGTGTTTCTAGAAAGATCATAACCTAGAATCTTAAGAGGTTTGGGATGTAAAAGTTTCCATGGCAATTCTTGTAAGGTGTGGGCTGACAAATTGGAACTGGCCTGGATTTGATGTCTGCAACTAACCAGGTGCCCAGGACTGACCGCTGCCCGGTTAGGCCTCAGCGGGGAGGCAGGGTCTACGTGGAGGGGCTCACTGTTTTTAGGGGATTCTGAATTGTCTTTGTATAGCAGTTGGGACACTCTGTATTCTTCCAGTTGATAGAACTTCTTTTTTTAAATGTAGATGCAGCTAAATATTCAAATACAATTTTAAGATTTTATTTCTTGTTAACTTTAGCTTTCACAAATTGTCTTTAAAGCCTTGAGCAGTCTGTATACGATTAAGAGATTCACGACATTTATCCTTTACAATAAGTGCATTAGCTGTAGAGCATAGGCATTTTTACTTCTGGGAAGTTTTCAGTCTCTCCAGAGTTGTAGATAGCTTTCATTTCTGTGCATTAAAGAAGTTCCTTTAGAAAATATTTACAAAGTAAAAATGCGAGGAAATACAAGTTATTTTTTCATAAGCATTTTGATACGCATTTCATCCAGTTTATTAATTCACCAATTTCTTACACTGGTTATTTATAATCAGTATTTACTTCAGAGAGGGGAAAGCATTCAAGTGCCATTCTCTACAAATGAGCAAGGTTGGAGTCACCAACTTTTATTTTTATCATGGAAAAAAATTTTCACTCCCCAACCTCTAATGTTGAACAGAATTGGAATATTTTCTTTAGAATTTCTCAAATAGGCAGAGGAAAGCTTACTGTCAAATGCTGTTGTTTTCCCTCTTCTGTCTTTGGAACATCAACACCAGTATATTGCTGGCAGCTATTGTATTAAAAAATAAAGTATATTTTCATTATCATAAAGGATTCTGTTTCCCCCTTAAGAAAATAAATAACAACTTGAGCTAAAAGTGTCTTATTTGAGACTGTTTTTTTTCCTGTGAGTGAATGAGTCAGCACATTTCACAGACCAAAGGGAAAATCATGTGATCGCCTTAACAGGGACAGAAAATAATTTGATAAAAACTCTCACGATGCTCATTCTTAGCAAAATAGGACCAGAGGTTAACTTTAAGAACAGACTTAACAAAAACCGAGAAAGATTTCTACCAAGAACCTACAGCAGTGCCATCGCTGTGTCCTGGAGGGCGGGTGAGATGGGCTTGCCCCCTCCACAGCTGCTCTGAGAGACATCCTAGCCATGACGATAAAAAGAAGTGGAAGAGATGTGACTGGAAGACTTCTCTCTGCAGGTGTGTGTGTGTGTGTGTGTGTGTGTGTGTGTGTGTGTAAGTGTGAATAAAATTCAAGTAACGTACAAATCATTAGGCATAATGGAATTTGGCTGGATGTAGAGCTGCAAGGTTGAGGAACAAAAATCAGTTACTGCACACTCGTGTTAACCCCGTTAAAAGCCATAGGCAAATTGGGAACACTGGTCACTTCTGGAGGAAAATTGAGGGAAATAGGTGGGAAACTGTCAGCGTACAAATTTGTGAATTATTTTCTATTCTAAAACTCTAAAAGTGCTTTAAAAGATAAATTATATGGTCAAATCTCTAAAAGAGAAAGATAGGGCCGGATCTCCTAAAGAATGTGTGTTTTCTTTATGGAGAAAACTACAAAATGCTGTTGAGAAACCTCACAGAAATCTCTTCAGTGGAGAGGTATACCATGTTCATGGTTGGAGAACCCGAGCACATAAGAATTTCAGTTCTGTCTCAAATGATTAGAAATTCAACATATATATTCCAACAAAGTCTCTGCAGGGCTTTAGGGAACAAGATAAATAGCTTTCCAAAACGCACATGCAGTAGTTATGCCCATAAATCATCAGCATATGTCCAGGGAACTTGCCTGAGAAGATACGAAGACTTCACACTGATTGATGGGTAGAACACAGTGGGTCGAAGAACAAAACACCCCTGCAGCAACGACCAGGAAAACAAAAGGATTCAAGGTGCTAAAACAATTTATTTTTTTAAAGACTTATTTTTTATTTATTTGAAAGAGAGAGGTAGAGACAGAGAGGTCTTCCATCCACTGGTTCACTCCCCAGATGGCCACAATGGCCGGAGCTGCGCCGATCTGAAGCCAGGAGCTTCTTCCAGGTCTCCCATGTAGGTGCAGGGGCCCAAGGATTTGGGCCATCTTCCACTGCTCTCCCAGGCCAAAGCAGAGAGCTGGAGCGGAAGTGGAGCAGCCAGGACTAGAACTGGTGCCTGTATGGGATGCCAGCACTTCAGGGCTTTAACCCACTGTGCCATAGCACTGGCACCTAAAATCATATTTTAAACAGAATACTGTGTAAGAAATAGGGACTAAATGCATCGGGATTTCAAAGGTGCAAACCTGGAGGGAAATGAAGGCCTGGCTGTTTTCTCCAGCCAGTTGCTGGGTCTGGGCCTGGAGCTGCAGACTGGCGAGGGCTCTGCACACTGGAAACCTAAGACACCCTGAAGACACAGCCGATTTTCACCCAGGGCATTTGCTGAACTTCAGCTATGTGGCACACTGAAAAGTAACCCTAGGGCTTCTGAGAGGCAGAATAACATCTACAAGCTTTAGAACTTGGGGGGGGGGGCAGCCGGAGGAAGGGGCCTGCCCAAAGCATGCAGTGAGCATCTAAGTGGTTGCCTGGTGCTGGAAGTCGATGTGGGAAGTGATGGGCAGCAGGTGCAAGGGTTTGGGAGGGATGAGGGGATTGGTCTGAAAATGAATGGGCTGTAGATCAGAGTCCAGTATGCAGATTAAATAAGTGCCTACAACCCAATAAAGAGACAACTTTTTAAAAAGTTTGGTTTATTGATTTGAAAGGTAGCATTGGAAAGACAGAGATACAGGCCAAAGCCAACAGCCAGGAACTGCTTCGGAGCCTCCAACATGTATGCAGGGGCCCAAGCTCCTGGGACATCTTTATTTCCTTCCCAGGCACAGTAGTAGGGAGCTGGATCGGAAGTGGAGCAGCAGGGACTCCCAACAGTTACCCATATGGGATACTGGCATTGCAGGCAGCAGCCCAACCCATCTGCCACAACACTGGCCCTGTGACAACTTATAAAAAAAGATAAAAGGGCAAAGAGTCTTTAGTCGACATTTTTCCCAAGAAGGTACTCGGGGGCAATAAACACACAGAGAATTCAACATGACTGGTCACGAGGACAGTGCAGTGAGGTAGCACTTCACTCACAGGTGGCGTCATGAAGAAGAGACGAGGACAGAGCAGCCAGACCTCTCGGTGCTCACGGCAGCGTTAGCAGGGGGCCGTGCTCTGGAATCCAGTTTGGCAACAGAGCTACCGTACAGCCCAGCACCTGCACTCCTGGGTTTTTACAGAGTTGAGAACACGTTCATACATCATGTACATGGGTGCTCGTAGCTGCCTTATTCCTGACAGCCCCTCAGATGGAAACAACCCAGATGTCCGCAGGGACGAACGCTGCGCTCCCTCTGGGGTGAGTAGTGGAGCTACTCCGAGCTACTCTCCGAGCTGTGGAGAGCAGGGGCAGACTTGCACGTGGTGGAACCTGCTCAGTGAAAGAAGCCACCCAGAGCAGCAGGTGTCCAGAGTGGGCAGTCGGTGGGGGCTGTGGGTGGGTGGTTGCCAGGGTTAGGGAAGCAGCCGGGGCGGGGCGGGGGGACTACGCACTGGGGTGCCTTTCTCTTTAGGGTGATAGAGACTTCTGGAACTAGACAGTAGCGATGGTTTCACAGCTTCGTGAATGTCCTTGATGCCACTGAGCTGTACATTCTGGAAGGCGGAGCTTTATGACGCATCAGGGGGCAATTTGCATTGCTGAAGTCTTGAATAATCAATGAACTGGCTGTTGATTGGTAGTTGGTGGTGTGGGTTTTTCTTTCCTTGTGAGTTAAAATTCAACTCAGCAGACATCCAAAAGTGCAGATGGGCGTTCAATTCTACAAATCTATTAAAAGTCCATTTTTTTCCCTCTAAAATGGGTGAAAAGCGAGGAAAACAGCAAACGGTTACCTATAAACCCAGCATTACTAGTGATTGATGTAGATGTGCTGAACAGTCCAACCAGAGTGTCCTCCTGGCTTTGAAAACATGAAAACCCACCATGTGCCATCTACAGGAGACAGTTTAAATACAAGGACGTGGGAAGGTTGAACCACAAGGCTGCAGCAAGGACACAGCAGAAAAGGCGCTCGGAGAAGGCTCTTAGCAGGGAGCATTGACCACGCCCTCTGACAAGGAAGGTGCAGCAACAGTAAATCCCCAGGCGACCAATAACAGGACTTTAAATACATACAGCAAAAGTCAACTGAACTAAATATGAAAAAGGCAACTTGACCGTGGAATTGGAGGTTTCTGACAGCTTGCTTGGGAGCTCAGAGGACAAGCCAGACCCAATACCACCAGGAGTAGGGTGGCATAACCCAGGTCAGCCGCCCCACCTCGCTGGCTTCCGTGGGGTGCCATGTCCGACTTTCTTTTCAAGCTCTCTAGGAACTCTGAAGCCAGCTGGACACCGGCCTGTAAAGCAAGCCTCAGCTTGTTCTCTGGCCACAGTGAGATTCAACTAGAAACCAATCGTGCAAAGTAAAGAAATCCCCAGAGTAGGGAATCACTTGCAGCAAGTGCAGACAAGCCTGCCACTCACACTGGAGCTGAAGTTTTTAAACATTTTTATTTCTAGGGCTGATGCTGTGGCGTAGTGGGCTGAGCCTCTCTGCCTGCAGTGCCGGCATCCCTTATGGGCGCTGGTTCCAGCCCAGGCTGCTCCACTTCTGATCCAGCTCTCTGCTATGGCCTGGGAGAGCAGTGGAAGATGGCCCAAGTCCTTGGGCCCCTGTACCCACGTGGGAGATCCAGAAGAAGCTCCTGGCTTCAGATCGGCCCAGTTCTGGCCGTTGTGGCCATTTGTGGAGTAAACCAATGGATGGAAGAGCCATCTCTCTTTCTCTATTTCTACCTTTCAAATAAATAAATCTCATTTTATTTCTGTGTTTTCATTTACTTTGAAAGGCAGAGAAAGAGAGATCTTCCATCTACTGGATCAGTTCCCATGTGTCCAAAACAGCCAGGGCTGGGCAAGAGCCAGGAACAGTCCAGGTGTCCCGTGTGGACGGCAGGGACCCCAGTACTGGGGAAACTGCATCTGAAGCAGAGGAGCCGGGACTCAGAAACAGTCACTCTGGCACGGGATGTCCCCAGTGTCAGCTTAACTGCTGAGCCAAAGGCCCACCCCCTAGAATTCATACTTTTTTTTTTTTTTTAAAGAAAGATTGATTGATTTGAAGGGCAGAGTTACAGAGAGGCAAGAGAGAGAATCTTCTGCTGGTTCACTCTTCAAATGGCCACACAACGGCAGGAGCTGGGCCGATCCAAAGCCAGGAGCTTCTTCCAGGCTTCCCACATGGGTGCAGGGGCCCATGGACTTGGGCCATCTTCCACTGCTTTCCCAGGCCATAGCAGAGAGCTGGATCAGAAGTGGAGCAGCCAGGACTTGAACCGGCGCCCATTCGGGATGCTGGCACTGCAGGCAATGGTGGCTCTATCTGTTAGGCCACAGCGCTGGCCCCTGGAATTTATACTTTTAAATAAAACAGATGTACTTATCTCTTTTTTAAGATTTATTTTATTTATTTGAAAGGCAGAGTGACAGAGGGAGAGACAGAGAAAGATCTTCCACACGTTGATTCACTCCCCAAATGGTTGCAATGACTGGGGCCAGGTCAAGCTGAAGCCAGGAGCCCAGGACTTCATCTGAGTGGCAGGGACCCAAGTAGTTGGGCCAACCTTCACTGCATTATCAGGGAGCTGGAACAGAAGTGGAGAAACCAGGACTCCAACCAGGGCTCCTTGGCGGGATGCCAGCATCCAAGGTGGTGGTTTAAGCTACCGCGCCACAATGCCGGCGCCTTCACTTGCCTGCTTGCAATGCAC